GAAAATGTTAATAAAGAAAAATACCAGAATCAATCAGTTAAAAGGGGGTTTGGATTGATTCTTGTTAAGGAAATGTATCTGGTATGGCTTTTAAAGTCAAGTTACTAACAAGGCTATGAGTGCTCTCTAGAGTGACATTTACCTGTTGTATAAAAAAAGTCTTTAAATATATTCCTTTCCCTTAGATTTTTAGCCTTTGAAATGTAGATCATCTATTTGAATTATTTTGTAATTTTACTTTCTTGGTCAATATTATATAACCCATTGAACTACCATTTTTATATATTACTGTGATCTGTTAGAATTATGGAAAACTTACAGCTGCTTTTTAATGCTTCATTATAATTAGTGGGTACACTTAAAGGATTCTCTTCTTAAGAAATGAGAAATCACATGTGAGCAATTATTACTCTTCTTTAGGAAAATTTGTTTAGTTTACCACCCAGGAATTGTTAAAACAAAATTCTATTTAGTCACTTGACTGCTTGAATTTATCAGTTGCTAGGTCTCCTTTCTGTTTGTATCTCCACTGGAGATGACTGATCAACACTTAACCTGTTTTTGATATAGTTACTTCTTATTGTGTGTTAGTCATTTAATTGACTCCCCACTTACTTAAATAGAAAAAAATGTACATGTGTTATAAACAAACACATACTTAATAGTCCCATATATAGGAACATCTCCTTGCTTATAAAATTAATTTAAAAGATAAACACTAGAAAAAAAGACATAAATGTAAGGAAATGTTATTGCTACTATCTGCATTCATGAACCTTGTTCTGTGGTATTAGTCAATAAAATTTGACAGCAACAAGAAATAAAAGCTATATGTATTGGAAAAGAAGCAACAAACTATTAATATTTCTACCAAATACTTTAACAAGCTTATGGATTACTAAATTGTTATTCAAAAGTCAATAATTTTAACACATTCAAAGGATAATCTGTTGGAAAATGTAATGTGATAGAAGATCTTGGTTATAATACTAACAAAATAGCACCTGACATACATAGAAAACCTGAATAGCACCTGACATGTATAGGAAATTATATAAAATGACTCTCTGCAACCTCCTGCTGTCTAGTACACTTATAATTTTATTTAATGTAAATGTCACGATTCTTTTCCTTACTGGTGAAGGATACTTTTAATGCATGTATAGAACAGTTTTTTCTCAGATTTCCAAAGGACAGCAAATTCCATTACTCTTGTAATCCTTGAGTGTAAAATAGGGACATCTGGACAAGTGTTCAGGGCAGAAGTTACAGGTCAGAAGGGCTTCAAAAAAAGCACTAACTCAATGACATTAGAAAAATAAAGGTTATTGGAAATGTTAATAAGTGTAAAAATGACTTATAAGTTAAAATGACTAAAAAATTTAAAAGAATGTAGTTTCACTTTGTACTTAATATTGCAGTATATTGGATGAGAAAAGTGACTAGGGAGAAAGATAATTATATGATATTCACTGTAAAAATTGGTTTGGTGCTACATACAAACATACACATACACACTCTCATAAAAGTATGCACAGTATTATATAAGTATTGGTCATATATTCACAAAATATATTCTTTGGAGAATTATGTAAGTCATTATTTTTATGGTGGAGTTTTGAATTTTAAGACATGGAATATAAAATGAATGACTAATATGTTTTAATTTTTACAAGACAGTTCTGAAAATATGGGCAAGAAATAAAGGGCTAAGGAGACAAAAAAAAAAAAAACCAGAGTCTAGACTTAAACAAGATGCTGAATTATGATGAATGCTTACTTCCTCTTCCAAGATAAATCCCAGAAAAAAAAACTAGAGAAGGTAGATGGAGGAAAGTGTAAGAAATTCAGAAGTATTGGTATATATACACAGGATGGTTGTTTGGACTTGGGAGAGGGCTTCCCAGCCCAACTATCAAAGTTAAAATAGGAAAGTGAGTGTGAGAGTTTTGCTCTAGCTTCTCCCCTCCTATTGTCCTGAGGCATGCAGTGTTTGCCCTACAATTGCAGCAAGACATAATTCTGATGCAAGTGTCCATAGGAATAAAATCAGAGCAGCATAGAACCCCTGTGTTTGTAAGTATGAGAACAGAAGGCAAAGGTTATGAGTAACAAGTCTCAGGATGTCATTCCCCAGCTCTCCCACACACTGCAGGGTACTTACCATTCCCACTTCAAGAGGTTGTTGTGGGTGACACATGATGGGATATGGTCTTCACTCACACACAATGTCTCAAAGCAGAGCTGATACTCAGAGAGGAAAATGAGCACACAGGCCAAAACTCACAGGCACTAAAAGTGAGTAGCCATTTCAAGTACAAGGGAAGTACTAGATTAAAAATTACAACAAAACATGGAAACATATAAAATGAGGCTAGTCAATGAGTTAAAAGAAATAGGGAAATGTATTAGCAACATTGAACAAGTAAAAGAAAAACTGAAAATTGAACAAGGTGAAATGGCATAAAATATGTATTTGTTTTAATAAACACCAAAATAGATAACAAGTGCAATGGCTACATCTGTCTGAGGAGTTAGTGAACTGAAAGAGAAAAACAAGAAATCTCATACATGAAAGAAGGAGACAAAGGAGAAGCAAACAGAATGGTGAACTGGAGAGAGATGATGAACAGAAGTGTAAGTGCAAACACTCAGATAACAGGGCTCCAAGAATGTGGGCAAAATAAATATACAAAGGAGGAAATCCTTGAAAACATAAGAGATAGAAAAGGGAAAAGCCCACATCGAGCACTTAATAATTAAATTGAAGAATATCAGAGACAGAGAAAATTATAAAAGCATCCTGAGAGAAAGAGTAGATCACTTCCAAGGGAATAAGAAGCTGTCTGTCTGATTGTCTTATCAATCTAGGACAACTTTGCTTTAAATTCCCTACTGTAGTTTTCTAAGACCACATGGTGTGAATTTTGGCTGCAGATGTACAAGCTGGCAGCCTTGAAGTAATACATTTTCAGAACAAAGCCTCCTCTCTATCCACTATCCATAGTATTTTTTTCCAAAGTCAAGAGGAACAAGTTTCTCTTCTGTTTTCTGCATGACACATGCATTTCTCATGCATGTTACCTCAGTGCTGTAGCCTTTTGGGGTTTCAGTTTTGTGTGATGGTCTCTTGTCAGGATTCCCCTTTTTGTGGGCCATGTAGATATGTAGGGGTTTATAGAATGAGATAAATTCCATATTATTTGCACATTAAATGATCATTTTCATAAGAAAAATATAGGATAATAAGCTATATTTATTCAATTAGCAAATATTTATTATCTGCTATATGCTAAGAATTGAGTAGTTCTGGTTACAAGGGATTTCAAATGAAGGTAGGGATAGAAGCCAAAGATATTTCTAATGTTTTCAATCTTTGTAAACATTACTCTATTGGAAGCAAAAGATGAATCAAGAGAAATCAATATTTTGCTTTTCAAAGGATTAGTTTGATTTATATAAAAGTTCAATTTATCCATCACATAGATTTTGGCCAGAAAATAATTGAAAATATAATGCCTGGTCTTTGAAATAAATTTTTAGCATGGAATTTGGAATCTGGATTGTGGGTTACTGACATAAAAGGAAAAATTGAGTAATGTGAGTGTTGATGTAAGTTATTGTATAAGGGAAAGAGAAGCATTGCAGGAATAGAATCACCTTCTGAAAAATAAAATGTCCTTATCCAGTTTTATTTCAGAAAAACTCACCTTTTTCATTCTCTTAAATGACCTTCCTACTTTTCTACATCAGATGTAAAAGAATACTATTTAATGTGGTATCCCCTCCATAGCAGTGGCTTAATATGCTTTTTAAGAAAATAAATACAAATAAACATCTCCAACAAAGAGAAACCTATAGTAAAATTATTCAGTGAACTTTTACCTTATGCCTTGCATCAAAGCTATGTTTAGTAATGTCTACTTGAAATTTTAACTGAAAAAGTAGTTATTTAAGGTTGAGTTATTAACCCATCCTTAAGATGAGTCATAGTGAGAAGACACTCATTTACTTCTAAGTGAAAATTAATCACTTGTAACTTTGCAAAACCACCATAATGCTTGTGTGTGTATGAATATGTTTGTGTACATTCACGCATACAGTTTTCATTATTGTCACTTTTAACAGCCCTTAAGTAAAATCTGTATTTAAAATGTGAGGACATTTTTATTCATTCTGTTACATTCAAACAATTGTAAATTCTTACATTCAAACAGCTAAATTCTTAGCTCTACCATTTGTGGTCTGTTTAGTGATAAATACATTTCACTATGCCCCACTTTCCTAATCTGTCAAATGAAATAATTTTGTATGGATTGATTTATTTTCAAACTGTTAGCACCACAAAGGAGTTTTTTCAACACAAGTATTTCCAGACTTGGTAAATGTCAGAACTCTAGGGGTTTGGACTTGAGAATCTATACTTAAAACCAACAAAAAAATCTCTCCAGATAATTTTAATGTATCTGATCAGTGAAATAATGTTGAGCTCAAATAATTTAAATGATATTATAGCCCATGTCTAGGCTAATGCTCTATCTTCTTCAGATAATGATATTTAAAGATATCAGAAGATAAAAAGTATTGTAACAATTTTGGCACTCAGTTGGCTCAATTTCATGATAAAAATGACAATTATACAAAATATCAATGAGAAAGATCATATGATTTTATTTGGACATAATGTCTGACAGTCAACCACAGTACTGAAACACAGATTCATGGTTTTGTTGAACTTTTAATTATATGTGGCCAAGTTGGAAAGGAGGAGAGAAGAAGACTGGAAGCAGACATAAGAAATAATTCATAAGAAATTTTACCTGTAATGTAGCTAATCATTAGCATCATATTTGGGGCTCTATAATATATATGCCTAAAGTCCATCCCTGGAGGTTTTTATTGGGTAGTATGGAATATTTAAATGAATTTTCAAGTTTCACTTCCAGAATTATTTATTTCTATTAACTAAGTAAAAGAACCAAACTTAGAAAAAGTCCCTGTTACTTTCTAGACACAAGCCTCCTCAGTGCACCCTTTACATCCTTGTTTCTCAGTGTGTAGATGATGGGGTTCAACATGGGGGTCACCAAGTTGTAGAAGAGAGTGAGGAATTTCCCTTGGTCCTGAGAAGAATTATTTCCTGGTTGCATATACATATAGATAATATTCCCATAAAACAAGGAGACTACAGTGAGATGGGACCCACACGTGTTGAAAGCCTTCCTTCTTCCTGCGGCTGACTTGATCCTCAGCACTGCTAGGGTTATGTAGCTGTAAGAGATAAGAATAAGTGACAGGGGCACCAGGACAATCATTACTGATAAGACAAAAACAGTGCTCTCCACAGCCACTGTGTCCACACAGGCCATTTTTATCAGAGCTGGCATCTCACAGAGAAAATGCTTCACCTGACATCTCCCACACCGTGGCAACTTCATGGTCACTGGGGACATAACCAGAGAGTTGAAGATCCCAATAGCCCAGGCCATAGACACCAACTTCCAGCAGAGCCAAGGGTGCATAAGGACAGCATAGTGGAGGGGCTTGCAGATTGCAGTGAAGCGGTCATAAGCCATGCTTGCCAAGAGAACACATTCTGTGCCACCCAGTCCCAGGAACATGAAGAGCTGGATGGCACAACCTGCATAACTGATGGTCTTGTCTGAGCCACCTAAGTTGAAAAGCAGCTGGGGGATGGAACTGGTGGTGAAGCAGAGATCTAGGAAGGACAAATTGGTGAGGAAGAAGTACATGGGCTTGTGGAGGCAAGGGTCCAGGTGGGAAACCAAGATCATGACAATGTTGCCTACTAAGGTTACAAGGTAGAAGATGAGGACAAACACGAAGAGGATCTCCTCTAGTCTGGGTCTATCTGAGAAACCCAACAAGATGAACTGTTGGCAGCTCTGGTTGGTCATGACAATGATATCAGTATACACCTGCAGGGAAGCAGATAGGAACACTCCACAGTTCAGATCATTGTAGAATATTTGGAAAATACAGACACATATAAAAAATAGGGAAATATTTCCCACACCACAGAAATAACCACTATTGCAATATGGATTTCCTTTTAGACTTTTATTTTTTAATGACTTTCCCTAATGAACTTAAAATATCCTGACATAAACTAAGCTTTTTAAGAATGTTTATTATACAGATTGATGTATATGATGCTAATTTTATAGATTCATCAAAGATTGTTTTTGATAGTTTATATAATTAGATATTTAAATAATCTGACAAGTAATGCTTATTGAGCAAGGTTATATTGTGTTGTGGGAACATTTGCTATCCTGCCATCTTTACTTTGGTTAAGGTATTTTTCTTCCTTAAGTTGCTGTCAGTTTTAAATAGTACAGGGCTTACTTAAGTGTTTATCTTTGGTTTCTTAAGTCTATTTTCTCACATGGCAGCATTTTACCTATTAGAAAACCATGATGGAGAGAAGATAGGTAGCTACAGCTGTTCTTGCCTGTGGTTACTTAGGTAAATTGGCTTGTATTTGCTGAAGAAATTTTTCATGACAGAAAATCTTGCCTATATATACCAAACTCTGAACAGGTTCTACTGGCAAATGAAATGTCTCTCTTTTGCTGGACATAATCTTAAAACTTTATTTATGGAAGTTGACTTATTTATACATCTTTTTATTGGCATATTTAGAACAATATAACCTTTAAATGGATTTTTTTTTTGAAAATGTAGTTCATTCTTGCCAGCGATGCTGAGGACTCAATTAGCTGCATTTAGAATCACCAGGAATTAGAATTCCTAGTCTGCATTCACTTGTGCCCCTATTGTATCTTTAACACTTGGGCCAGCTATACCATTCATTCATGTATACATTATTATTTTTTTTTTGTTAAAGTATCATTGATATGCACTGTTATGAAGGTTTCACATGGAAAACATTGTGGTTACTACATTCACCCTTATTATCAAGTCCTCCCATACCCCACTGAGTCACTGTCCATCAGTGTGGTAAGATGCCACTGTCACTACTTGTCTTCTCTGTGTTACACTGTCTTCTCCATGACTGCCCCCACACCATGTGTACCAATCATCACTACCCCTTAATCCCCTTCTCCCTACCTCCCCACCCACCCTCTCCCACCCTTCCCCTTTGGTAACCACTAGTCCCTTCTTGGAGTCTGTGAGTCTGCTGCTGTTTTGTTTCTTCAGTTTTGCTTTTTTGTTATACTCCACAAATGAGAGAAATCATTTGGTACTTGTCTTTCTCTGCCTGGCTTATTTCACTGAGCATAACACCCTCTAGCTCTATCCATGTTGTTGCAAATAGTAGGATTTTTATTCATGGCTGAATAGTATTTCATTGTGTATATATACCACCTCTTCTTTATCCATTCATTTACTGATGGACACTTAGGTTGCTTCCACATTTTGGCTATTGTACATAGCGCTGCAATAAACATAGGGGTGCATATGTCTTTTTGAATTTGAGATCCTCCTTTTTTGGGGTAAATTCCTAGGAGTGGAATTTCTGGGTCAAATGGTACTTCTATTTTTAGTTTTTTGAGGAACCTCCATATTGCTTACCACAATGGTTGAACTAATTTACATTCTTACCAGCAGTGGAGGAGGGTTCCCCTTTCTCCACATCCTCACCAGCACTTATTGTTCCTAGCCTTTTTGACATTGGCCATCCTAACTGGTGTGATGTGATATCTCCTTGTGATTTTAATGTGCATTTCTCTGATAATTAGTGATGAAGAGCATCTTTTCATATGCCTGTTGGCCATTTGAACTTTTTCTTTGGAGAAGTGTCTGTTCAGATCCTCTGCCCATTTTTTAATAGGGTTATTTGCTTTTTGGGTGTTGAGGCATGTGAGTTCCTATATATTTTAAATGTTAACCCCTTGTCATATATGTCATTTACAAATATATTGTCCCATACTGTAGGATGCCTCTTCATTCTATGGATGGTGTCCTTTGCTGTACAGAAGCTTTTTAGCTTGATGTAGTCTCATTTGTTCATTTTTGTTTTTGTTTCCCTTGCCTGAGGAGATATGTTCAGGGAGAAGTTCCTCATGTTTATATCCAGGAGATTTTTGCCTGTGTTGTCTTCTAATAGTTTTATGGTTTCATGACTTACATTCAGGTCTTTGATCCATTTTGAGTTTACTTTTGTGTATGGAGTTAGACAATAATCCAGTTTCATTCTCTCACATGTAGCTGTCCAGTTTTGACAACACTAGTTGTTGAAGAGGCTGTCATTTCCCCATTGTATATCCGTGACTCCTTTATCGTATATTAATTGACCATATATGCTTGGCTTTATATCTGAGCTCTCTATTCTATTCCATTGATCTATGCATCTGTTCTTGTGCCAGTATAAAATTGTCTTGATTACTGCAGCTTGGTAGTAGAGTTTGAAGTCAGGGAGCATAATGCCTCTAGATTTATTCTTCCTTCTCAGGACTGCTTTGGCTATTTGGAGTCTTTTGTGGTTCTATATGAAACTCTTTGCTCTAGTTTGTTGAGGAATGTCACTGGTATTTTGATAGGGATTGCATTGAATCTGTAGATTGCTTTAGGTAGCATGGCCATTTTGACAATATTAATTCCTCCTATCCATGAACATGGGATATATTTCCATTTATTGAGACCTTCTTTAATTTCTCTCATGACTGTCTTGTAGTTTTCAGGTTTTAGGTCTTTCACTTCCTTGGTTATGTGTATTTCTAGGTATTTTATTCTTTCGATGCAGTGGTGGATGTAATTGTTTTCCTGATTTTTCTCCTTTCAGTCTTTTCTTATGACATATATAATTGAACACAACCTAAATCATAATGCATTCATAAATTTTATATTCTGAATTACCTTTCACTCAGTTTTATATTGTAAGAATTTGCTTTGGTTTTAAAATTCTGCAAAAAATAATTATTAATGTTTGTATAATATTCCTATAGCTGTGTCATCATATTTCCAAATATTTCTCTGTAGTTTGTCATTAAGGATATTTTGAATATTTTAATGGTCTTGATAGAGAGATTATGGAAGTACCTGTTTTACTGCACTCTATCCCTAGATCTTTGGCAGTGTTGTATTCCAAAATAATTTCATATGTTTAAGTTTGTAGTTATTAACCATGAAGTTGGTTGACTTTTTGATGCTTATTGGCTTTTTGCACTTGGAAAACATTTTCACTGATCTCAGGCAAGCCAACAGAAATTGAACGTGACTTTTCATAACCATGAAAACAAGGAGTAAAGGCTGATTTTCTTCTAGTCACTGGAATTCAAGTTACAACCTTTTAAGTTTTATTTAATAATTGAATCCATGAAACATATAAGTTGTTTTATAAATGATGAGATCCTTGTTTCTATTTTATCCTTTAATGAAGTTATTTTCTCCATCTATATGTACATAGTCAAATATTTTAATTTTACAAAAAAATTCAATTTTATGAAAAATACCGTTATATAAACTTCAACTCAATTTAAATAATATTGAATACTAAATTCAATTAACATTGTATTTTAACAATTTCTTCTGTGATATAATTCATAATTATATTTTTAGTTGGATGTAACTGATGCAGACTTATAGTTCCTTATCACATCAGACTTTAAAATTAATTATGAAATGATTAAATGCAATCATATTTATATAAAATATAAAATAATAGGATAAATATAAATGTTATAAAATAAATGGACAGAACTATATATATTTGTATTAATTTATATAAATTCCATCTATATGATTTAGAAATTTTAATTGACAGACAATGCTTTCATGTGGCTTTAAAAAAAATAGTGTGTTTTTATCCCCAAAAGAGCTACTTGTCAAATAAAAAAATCCAGGTAAATCCATCTTTATATCTCAAACTGATAGATCTTCAAAAGTCATAAATTGTGCTTTATAAAAACTTTTCTATGTACAAGAAAAAAAATCTCAAAATCCTTTCAATGCTTCCTGGAACCAAAGATTCCCTTGATTATATTAAGTAATTGAAGAGGTAAATAAAAGTTTTAAGTTCATTTAATATGTCAAAGGTTAAGTTCATTTAATATGTCACATAGTTTAAAACACTTAAAGATGTTTTTGTGAGCTATCATGTAAATGATATTTCTCAGCATCTGAGATTATTAAAGATGTTTACTGTACCATCTACAGAATATGGTGCTTTGTGTCAGGAAACCTTGTCTCAGTACTCTGTATAGTCCTGTGAATGAACAATTTCACTACCTCAGAGGGTTGATATGAAGTTACAGCTTTCAGTGCCACCTGTCTCTCAGGTGCATAAAGAGCTTTATAACTCTACCAGTTACCCCTTAACTAGTTGCTGTAACTAGTTCCTACTATAACTAGTGATCTTTTCTGGCTATCTGAATGTAAGCTGAGATCCAGAAGAGGCAGCTGAGAGTGAAGGAGCCACGTCTCCATTTCTACCTCCACTAGTATCTTCTCATACACGTTGATATCATTCTGGACCAGTACATATACTTGTAAAGTGCCTCACATATAATAAAGCATGTTATATATATGAGTTCCTACTATTATAAACAGGAAGACCATGTCTATGTTATACATGATCAAGATAAGAACCTTCCCCATGCTATTTGAGTATTAATATTAGCAAATATTAAACCATTTTAGCTAGTTTAAATTAATTATAGCTGTACAGATGCCTGTGAAGAAAACTTTGGGCCAGTGATTTAAAGAGAGCTCGGTTTGCCTCATGGATTTACAGCATTAAGTAGGAGAAACAGACAACATCAAAAACTCACATAAATAAATGTATAATGACCACTAATATTATTAAGCCCTTACTTAGTGCCAAGCACTGTGCTAAGTATTTTCTTGGACTGTTTTATTTAATCCTCATACCTGAATTTGAAGGATATAAGCATTAAGTAACTTACCGAGGTCATGTAGCTAAGAAGTTGTA